TTTAAAGTGTCCTTTGCTTAGAAATATATTAAAATTATTTTTTTATCTTTTAAAATTTATTTTTAATATCAACATATCAAAAAAATTCAAAATTCAAAATCAATAATTCAAAACTGAAAAAACATTAAAATGTTCTCAACACCACTAAACAACATTCACAAAGATTACCTTAATCAAAACAACTCAACTTTTATTTCATCAACCAAGGAATGGGCACACCAAAAAAAATAATCAAATGGGACAAATGTATAACGTGTATTTAGTATTGTAGTAGTTTTTGTGGTTATGGTTTGAAAACAGTTGTTTTATAAATAGTTCTTTTGATTAAGGTTGGTTTGATATTTATATATATTTAGTTAAAATTATAACTGAAATTGAGGTTTAATAGAAAAATAATTTGATATGTTTGGTTAAGAATTATTTTCAAATTGAATTTGTAAATAATTTCAAAGAATATATATATCAATATTGATAGTTTTTAATTTAAATATTATAGATTTAACTACTGTTATTATATCATGAAACAAATAATAATTTATATAAAATATTTTTCATTATTTCATTAAACTATCTATAATTTCATCACGTATGAAATACATACATCCAACAAGGATTACAGTTTCCTTAGTTTCTTAAGTGCGCAATAACATCAGGTAAAATATCATCATGAATAAAATTAGAACTGCGACCTCCGTCTAATTTATCATTAGTGTCATTAAATAATGTTCAACGCTAATTTTTTAAATAAAACATAATTAAAAAAAATATTTTATTTTACTAGGTCGGACCCGGTTCAATGCATTTAGCTTTGAATTAGACTTGGTCCAGTCAAAACAATGAAGGGTGACTCCACTGTTCCCTTAAGTGAATAGTGGAGAATGATTTAGTGACCGTTAATTTCTGTGGTTGCGTTTGCTGTTGAAGGAACCCACAAAAAAAATATTGTTTGGTAATATGTGAAACGTATATTACTATTCATAGACCCTCACCATTACTTGCATTTGAAATCTAGGGTTGTTAAAAGCAGCTCAATGCTTCTTTTCTTTTCTTTTTGTGGAGTGGAGAGTGACTCTACTATTCTAGCTGGACTTGATCGGATCCGATCTAAAATTAAATATATTGAATTAGGTCTGGCCCAGTAAAATTAAAAAAATTTATTTTATTTTTTATTTTTATAATTGTGTTTTATTATATAAAAAAACTAGTGTTTATTGGTCTGATCTAGAGCTAAATGCATTGAACTGGGTCCAATCTGGTAAAATAAAAATAAAATTTATTTTTTATTGTATTTTAATTGTGTTTTATTTGAAAAACTAGTGTTTAATATTATAAAGTATCACTACATATCTTAGATAAAGATCACTTGATGATATAATATTTGCAAAATTTGATATCAATCCCAACTTTATTCCTGATTATATTTTACCTGATGTTGTTGCACGCTTAAAAAATTAAGAAAACTGTAGTTATTGTCGAATGTATTTCATATGTGATTGAATTGTAGATAGTTTAATAGAACAATAAAAATTATTTTATATAAAATAGTATTTATTTCATGACGTAATAACAGTAGTTATATCTACAATATTTCAATTAAAAATCATCAACATTAACATGTATTTTTTAAAGTTATAAATTGAAAAGTATTATTAACCAAATATATTAAATTATTTTTTATTTAATATCAATTTCGATCATAATTTTAACTAAATATATATAAATATCAAACAAATTTTAATTAAAAATATTTTTTATAAAATATTTTTTTTACCTCTACAGGAATATGCCTTAACTGTTTCTTTTCACCCTGCGTTGCAAGGAGAAAACAATGGGTATACTGTTTTTTTCTTTACCAAATATTTAACTCCTGCATTTTTTTTCAAACACTAACGACAACCCATAAACAAACAGGCTCTGTCAATACAATTCACCGCATCAAAAAAAAAAAGGGGTGGTGGGGAAGAAAATCTAGAAGAAGAACTGTACGGCCACAATAATCAGGCGGGAAATACGGAAGGGGCCACCGTACGAGGAGACATGTACAATTACAAAACTGCCATTGAAGCCCCCCACTGACTTTTCTGAGAAGCCTGGAATAATCATGATTATAATAAATTAAAGCGGTAATGCCAACAAACGTTAATGGTTAATTAGACGTGGTACTCAAGTGCAAACCTGTCGGAAAGAAGTTTCAACGTTAATTAATCAAGTCTTAATCGACTCGTCTCTCTCGCATGGTTGATTTACGTATGGGAAAGATTACTTGCATGTGTTCCCCATGCTAGTACAACAGGACACCATCACTTCAAGTATCTTGCTGTGTTTTCGAACTAGTTTATTGAAATCATGATCTTCAAACGATTTTCTTTCCTAATTCAAGTTTTATAACTGTTTGTCTGTTAAATCTTATAGACCGTCAAAATAGTTCTGTGCAATATATACTTGTTATTTATTACCCGTGTCTAGTTGCTTGATTAGGGTTTTAGTTAGCATGGAGATAGCGTTTTCCTTCTACGTACGATCATGTCACAATACAAGTTAGTTCTTACAATGGTAGATGGCGTTATGGCATCATCTTGATCTCCAGGAGCAACGCAGAAGAGGGTTAGGATGGTGGTGTTTCAGGAGTGTTTTTGAAAAAAATAATTTTTTTAATTTTTAATTAATTTTTTTCTGTTTTTATATTGTTTTGATAGGTTAATATTCAAAATAATTTTTAAAAAATAATCACTACTATAGTTACAAATACCTCATGATTTAGATAAAAGTTTATATATGATGATTTCTTGCTTGTGATCTCATCAACTTCACAATGAGTTGTGAACACGGTAACAATGATTCTCCTACCCAGTAAAAAGGAGAGATGGATGCAAAATAACCTAATGACTTGCGTGGAATAAAAGATAATATGGTCTTAAGTTGACTAATTAGGCTCTTTTTTTAATTAACCAGACTTATTAGGCCACAAAACAAGGCGTGATTCTGGACTGCCATGAATAATTTACCCCTGTAAAATCATAATTGCCATTTGGTACATACTAAAATTATCCAGTGTGGGCTTGGCATTCACATTGTTGTGGTGTAAATAAATAATTTCAAAAATATACATGTTTGATAAAGACTATTATGAAATATATATATTTTTTTTTCAAAAACAAATGAAAAGCAAATCTTCATTGATAAAAGAACATATTACTTTCATTTCTACATAATCGAGTCTAAAATGCAGGTTAGATAAAAAGCAAAAATTATATAGCTAACAAAAATAGCAATTAGCATAAACTATGAGATATTAAAGAGTTTTTTTTTTAAATAATTTTTTTTCAAAGTATTTTTTATTTAAAAATATATTAAAGGAGATATTAAAGAGTTTTTTTTTAAAATGCAATAATGGTTGTTTTTCAAAGTATTTTTTATTTAAAAATATATTAAAATAATATTTTATTATTATTTTAAAAAAACTATTTTTAATACCAATATATCAAACTTGTCTTGAAAAAATAAATAAAAAATTTCATGTATCACGCATAGTTCCAAAAGTGCAATAATGGCCTCGGACTCTCAGGGACATTATAATTTATCCTTTGAATAATTAACAGAATTGCACTGTTAAAGGAAAGAGTAGATCGGTGGCCTTTTTACTTTTTTAAAGGCTAACAATCTTGAAACGGAGCCTCCGGAGCTTGTAGAGCTGTTAGGTTCAAATACAGGGAGGAAATACAGCTTTTCAGAACGAAGGCATGATAGGATCAAAGAATCCCAGATAATCAGTCGTAGACTTCCTGTCTACATACAGTATAATATAATGTATTCTCACTGCACATATGAGGTGTGAACACGTGTAGTCTGATTGACTTGATTTGCAGGGCCTCAAAACTACAGTATTTACTAGATCTGTGCCGCTCTCCGTCCCACTTGATTTTTTTTCCCCTGTTAAAATCAATGATTATATGTTACAATATAACATGAATAATTTATTATAAAATAACTTAATATTAAATTAAAAAATTAAACAAATTATATCAATTCATATTAATTTAATAATTTATTATTAAATATTGAATGATAAAATTAAAATAACAATTTAATGATTTATTATTAAATACTGAATGATAAAATTAAAATAAATTATTTTTATAAAAAATCTAATTAAATATCAAAATTGACCCTTGTTAAATTATAGTTAAGAAAATTAATTTTATAAAAGGAAGCTTTATTTTTGTTTCCTCGTACGCTAGTTTAGTAATTTATAGGTTGTTTGAAATCAATTTTCTATTGTAATTTAATTTAATTATAATATTTAATATGAATTTAATTGATAAATAAATTGAATTTATATATTTGAAAAAGAATAAAATTCAGTTAATTTTGTGTCTTATATTACTCTAATTACTTCCATCTTTTTTTTTCATATGTTTTTAAAAAGATCATATTACTCATCAATTTTCATATCAATGGCTTTTCTTGTAGGGGAAAAATTAAGAAAGTACTGTTTATTGATACAGAACTTTCACCACAAGAATTAGTTTATGTTAACTCCATATAAATTAGTGAAAATATATTTTTCACCCCAATTGTTCTATTTAAAAAAAAAAACCTTATTTCAAGAAAGAAAGGTGTTAGGAAATTAATTTTTAATTCTTCAATTCTGAGACAAATTATATAATATATGAATTTTCAAGAGATTCTCATTTTAATTGATTATAAAATTATTTATATTATTAAAATAAAACTGGAACTATAAAATTAGACAAATGTTGTTGAAATGACTTCATCTATCCTCAAATCTTAAGTTTTCCAACAACACGATACAGATACACAGATAGGCTAGCGAGAACCGGACATTGCTTTCAATCTCTCTCTTGTCACTGCCTCTGCCAAGGCAATTCGCGAAAAATCTTTAGGTGTGAATAATCCAATCAAACAGACAAAAGCAATTGAACCCCGAGGAGTACAAAAGTAATGAATCCTTCAAAAGAAAGGAGAAGATGCTCTCCCTTGTCCTGTAATCGTGTCCGATATGTTTGATTGATTTCTTGCTACTCGTTTAAAGTACAATTATGAACACATAAGGGTCAAGGCCCTAAAGAGGCAAAAGAAAAAATAACTAAAGAGATTGAACAGAAAAAGAAAAAGAAAATCCAATACCCCCCTAGTAAGGAGTAAATGCACAACAAGTCATCAATTCTCGATCCCTTTCCCGTTCTTTTACTATCTCACTTTCACTTTTCCCGGAAAATTTCTTGAGAATCTAAACCATTAAAGCCTCAATACTAGCCTTCTTTGGTGTTTGACACACTGGACAAGCATCAAGACAGGCATCACAAGCTTTACAAGAGCAAAGGTGCCTACAAGGAAGGAACAAAATACACGAATTCCTAGAATTACATACTTTGCATACCATCACCATCTTTCTTGCCGTATCATCAGCGTCATCAAGAAACCATTCCTCTTCTCTGCTAACATCGCAGCAAGACTCTGCATCTTCTGCCCCATTGTTAAAACAACTTGATGCATTTTCTCTCAGTTGTTCAATTGTGTTGTTGAGAGAAATAACTTTGGCTTCATTTTCTTGAGCCATTCTTTGCCATGTTTGATTCTCGAACTCTAATTTCTTCAAGAAATCTTCAAGCTCCACCGTTCTTTTAGCTGCCTGTGCTATTTCTTCATCCTTTTGTTTCAATATCGGCAGGGCCTTTGATTCTACTTTCTTTAACAATAACGAAAGCTGCTGCCTTTTTTGCTCTTGTAACACCAATCTCAGTCTCTCGTCCTGTTTTGACAAACGAAAAAAAATGATCAGTCTAAAATTAAAATAACACAAAAATAACGATGAGACTGCACAAAAAAATTTTGGTATGCGGCCATACCTGCAGTCTGATATAGTGATCAATCTCTTGTCTTTGCTTCTCATCATAGGAGGCCATGATACCCATTGAAAGATGATCACTGTTGTTGTTTTTCGAAGCAGAAGCAAGAGTATTGTCAAAGAAAAGATTTTGATTCCTCTGAAGCTGATAATTTAGTAGCTGATGCATGTTGCATTGCTGCTGCTGCTGCTGCTGTTTTTGTTGCTGAACATTGAAGTACTGATTCAAACCTCCACACCCATAATCCATCAAATCCTGTGACCCTCCACAATATGGAAACTGTGCTTGTATTGCCATTCTTCTATAACCACAAAACCAATCCTGATCCCTATCAAAACCCCGAGACCAAATAATAGAGTTCTTGAAATGAATTGGGATTCTCGAAAGCCAAGACTTTAAGTTCTTCCTGATCTCTGCTCCGTGACAACAAGGGACAGGAAAATAAATGGAAGGGTGAATCTATATATAGGAGGTGATTTGTGATAATAATAGAAAGAGATACGATAAAAGTAACTGCTAAGACTTGGAAAAAGGGAAAAGAGACTGCCCTAGGATGCCTGTTTTTTCTTTTTTTATACAAGGTCTACCTCTACTATTATACGCATAAACCCATATATTATTATTAAAGGGTCTTTAAAGAAACGACGTACACATGCAGATTTTGTGACTAAACTATCGGGTCAGAGATTTCAGAGGGGGTGTTTGTTTGGTTTTGAGTAAATATAACACAAAAAAAGGGGAAAAAAAAGGTGGGCAAGAAAGAATAGGAAAATTCAATTCCAAGGTGTGTGTGTGTGTGTGTGAATCTGAACAGGTCAGTTATTATAGTGAAGAGAAGGGATAGGAGGGATCAGAGAGACTTGTCAGTTTGCGTATGACTCTGAATAGGTCAGTTTTTATTGTGGGTCGGAGGGGTCGGAGGGATCTGTCAGTTTGGTCATTAGGAAAGCCTGAAGAATATGATTTCTTTATTTGCTTTTTTGGGAGTATAAATCCTTGCCACTTCTTATTTTTTTTTGTGAAACATGACTTGGAAATATTTTTGGCACTGATTCGGGCAGGGCGTTTAGTGGGCAAAGTGTTGAGGTTTTCAAGCTGTTGAATCATTCTTTAGACAGGTGGAACCAGGTAATGCAGCCCACATCATGTTTCACCAATACATCAAAACCATGAGCAATGAATGCTAATTCTGATGGCAGTTTCCCTTCTTTGTGTTAATTATGGGCAGCAAATTAGTTTTAGTTCCTATAGTTTTTGTTATGAAACGGGTTGTTTTGCTTGGGAGGAAATTCTGTATTCTACAGAGGGAGCCCACTACTTGCTCTCTCGAAGATTTTGATTAAAGGGTTGATCTGACCATGTGATAAACATTCTCTTTTACTGCTTGTATTGCCGAGAATATAACGACGGCTTGTGTGTCCGTGTCTCCCACGATTGAGTCCGGGCTCCCACTACCCTCCTTATCACACCGAGCACTTTAGAAAACTACAAGGGATCGAGACTATAAATTAATCTCGTAGCTATTTGGCTTAATCTTATAATCTTGGGGGGCTGGTTGGAATTATCTGTAGAAAAGGATGACTGGTTTGTATTATTTTTCCATTATCTCTCAACGCGGTTTATGTCTATTTGTTTCCTAACTAGATTGAGGATTCTTCGAAACGTTGTGCGATCGTGATGGAAGAATTCTCAGTGAGACTCTTATTATTGAGAATTTAAAGCTCGAGCATGCTTTATGAAAATCCCACCTACCAAATTGCAGGGGTTAATTAAATCGGCCATTAATGATTTACTGTACTAATAGCCAATCAGACAATTTTGTTCCACTAATTATTAGCTCAAATTATATTTGTTGAGGTCTTTAATACCTTCAAAAACTTAAATCCTGCCAAAGATTCAAGCATTTCAGCTACGACTTAAAAGCAACAAACCAAATTCTGGGACTCGCCATTTGAGTCATTGGCGTTAACTAGTTTATTTAAGACGTGGACTCTTCCCAGAGATGATCTTGTACGAAGAGGAGGATCAAATCCAGAATCACGGAAATTTGTCCATGTCAACAAGATTATGAAGGCCTAAAAGTCCGTGGAAGAAATAAAATAAAAATCCTGTCCACAGTTCCCCATGTCTTTCTTGAATGGTTGCATTGCAACAAGATCGTCATCGATCTTTTTTCTTGAAAACATAGTTTCCATTCGCTCTTGATAAGAGGCTGATAGGAGCACACAGGGAAACAAAGCATGTATGGTGAGCGTGGACCCATGTACTGCCCACCTACTATGACCCTAGTGAGTCGCTTCCTTGCTCGGGCACTTTCATGTGGAACCAACGGTGCAAACCATGTGAATCTGTGAAGACATCAACACAGCACGACCCCCACCTCTCGAGCCCCATTGACTAGGCACTGTAGTAGTATTATTAAAGATGTGTCGTATATGGTGCAAGGTTTCTGCTACACCTTCTCAACTACTACTCTCTCTTTTTTTTCTGGCAGAGTGACATGGATGCATCGGGGTCCTGGTTCCCATAATAGGGCAACCCCACCGAAGTCTTGTCTCATTGCTTGTGTGGTGGGATTCAAAGAAAACGTGTGGAAATCTTAGGTGCCCTAAATTTCTTTTCATGATGATAATGATTTAACATTCGTTACTTTAGAAAAACATGGTTATTAACGCTTAATTTAGTGCCCTTAGACAAACTTATTTGACATAATGTAAAGTGATTCTACTATTCCATTGACGAGCTGGTAATTTTTAACAAACACGCCATGACCTTAAGCGTGTAAACATCGGCTTGTTGTTCATGATTAAAGATAGAATCAAAGGTCTTGACCCCATGATTAAGCAATTTCTCAAATTACACGATCGTGCTTCCCAGGGTGACCTGGAGCGTGACTTCAGGTCTTAGGACTTTTAACGCTCGAGTGGTTGAGTGGTTGCTGTGAACAATGTTACCATGCGGCCTTCAATCTCTCACAGGAAAATGCATGCAGCCCGAGAGGACATCTAGGGTAAAGGCAACCGATCCCAGCACTTTCTTTATATAAATAAATACTCATGTCAGCTATGATATTGAATTTTATATTATGTTCTACAATACATTCGAGATTGACAAGTAATATATAGAACATTATCTATAAACATATATATATATATATATGACCTATTTGCTCGTGCCTTATTTTAATGCAAACCATCCTCGATCCCTGATGGGGACAACAAATATTTTCTTAATAGCTTATGCATATTTTAATTATATGATTCACTTCAATAATTTAAAGAAATAAAAGTTGTAAATTTAACATTTTCGTCACTGATATATACGTACGTAGTTTGATACTCGTTTTTATTATTATTGTGTTGATAATTGTTGTCTATAATCTCTCGAAGATAATAAAAGAAAGCAACTCCCTTTTGTGATACCAATTACGGCCTCCGTGATGAACAAGGAACTTTCTTTTATCCTTCATTGGACATATAACAAGGAACGAATTAAATCTTTTAATAATATTTAATATCCAAACAATAGGGTCTCGTATGATTGTGGTTGCGTGATTGTTTTTTATTTTTTTATATTAAAATATATGATAATATTTTAAAAAAATAATTTATTTTTGATATCAGCACATTAAAATAATTTAAAAACACTAAAAACATATCAATTTAAAGTAAATAAAAAATAAAAAACTTTTAAATTTTTTTAAAAACATTTTTGAAACTCAGAAATAAACAGTTAATGTTTGTTACTAAGGCAGAGTAATGATGGTTTTTTAAAATATTTTTTGTTTTGAAATGTATTTCAATATTTTTAAAAAATATATTTTATATATTAATACATTGAAACAATTCAAAAACATAGAAAAAATTAGATTTTTGATAAATACATTGCTGACCGTGTTGCTAAACAATTAAGAAACTTGTTTATTTTTACATTTTAAAAGCGCTTTTAAAAAAAATTATTTCTTTCTTTGCTTCAAATTGTTTTTATATTTTTATATCATTTTAATGTACTAATATTAAAAATAATATGTTTAAAAAATAAATATTATTTTAATATATTTCTACATAAAAATATTTTAAAAAACAACTATTATATTGGGAATTAATTTCATAACAATTTTTTTTTTTTTATGAAACTGTCCATTATAATTTTTTTTATTTTATTATTTAATATTGGACAGATTGAAAATTGAGTTTCAAAATTTATTTTGTTTATTTTTTATAAGGTTATCATAGTCTTAAAAAAAATCTCAGTATTGGTTTAATGTTTAATTTTGTTATTATCTACTTTTATTACCATATAGTTAAATAACTAATAGTTTAGAGAAAAACAACAAGTTATTAATCACAATAAAGTCCATTATTCAATTTACGAGTTTGATATGTTAATCTAGGTTACTCAATTTATAGGTTTGGCGGGTTTGCCCTTCAAACCTTATATATATATATATTTTAGTTTTTGATCCTTGAATTTTCTAATTATTTTTTGTTTCACTATTATTCAATAGATTGGTTGAGAAATGAAATTTATGGTTTTTTTTATTTTCTATAAAGATATCATAATCTCAAATAAATGTATTTTTTAGAGTTGATACTTGATTTTGAAAGCAACTAACATTATCATAAAATTAAACAAAAATAATTTATAAAAAAACAAAGTTAATATTGATATAATTTGGCATAGTCTCAATATATAAAAAAATTATTGTTCTAGAGTTTTTTTTAAAATATATGTTATGTTTTTGTTGATTATCTAAATTATCTTTATACTTATTAAATTAATTAATTTAGTTTGAATTAGTTTTTATGTGATTTAATTCAAAATTTAAACTATATATAGAGTTGGGTTGGCATCTTCCAGATTAAATTGCTTCATTAATACTAAAAAATCTCCATTCTCTTTTTTTTTAAATAATAATTTTCTCTTTTTTAAAAAAAATAATAATTTAACCTGGAGCAAAGACGATAAAATTCGACAGTGGTATGTAGCGGTTAAAAACTGCAGGTTTGTATGTGTGTGTGGTTCATCAGAAGCCATGGAGGGCATGGCGGTGTCCAATTCTGGAGGATGGAGGGCATGGCGGGGTCCAATTCCGGAGGAGTGTAATAATTCTGGCACCAAACCAGAGTTTTCCAACTACTCAGTTTCTATACTAGCATCTAGTTAGTGTTTTTCAAATATATATATATATTTTTTTTTTACTTTTGATCAAAACTATCAATTTTCTATAATCTCTTGAAGATAATAAAAGAACCCAGCTCCCTTTTGTGATACCAATTGTGCCCTCCGTAATGAACAAGAAACTTTCTTTTATCCTTCATTGGACATGTAACAAGGAACGAATTAAATCTTTGAATGATATATAATATCCAAACAATAGGGCCTCATATGCCGCGTGTTTATCAGTGTTGTTTTTTATTTTTAAATAATTTTTTATATTAAAATATATGATAATAATTTTTTTATTTTTTAAAATTATTTTTAACATCAAAATAATTTAAAAACACTAAAAATATATTAATTTAAAATAAATAAAAAATAATTTTTTTCAAAAATATTTTTAAAACTTAAAAACAAACCGTTAATGTTTGTTACTGGAGTAGGGTAATAATGATTTTTTAAAATATGTTTTGTTTTGAAATGTATTTAAGTATTTTTTTTAAAATATATTTTTTATATTAATATATTAAAACAATTCAAAAACATAAAAAAAATTAGATTTTTGACAAATACACTGCGACCGTATTCCTAAACAATTAAAAAACCTGTTTATTTTTACATTTTAAAAGCGCTTCTAAAAAAATCATTTCTTTCTTTGCTTCAAATTTTTTTATATTTTT